CGCGACAAGGAGATATTTTTGCGCGACAAGGAGATATTTTTGCGCAACAAGGAGATGTTTTTGCGCGACAAGGAGATGTTTTTGCGCGACAAGGAAATGTTTTTGCTTGACAAAATATGCTTTTTGCGCGAGAAAGAAATTTTTTGACATAGCAAGATATTCCTTTTCATAAAGGAGAATCTTCTCACAACATGGCCTTGTGCCGCCAAACAATTAGAATTCTTTGGGCATAATATTTTCCTATTTCAGACCACGTGTCATTCCCTTGAGAATAAGAATCTTTGTTTAAGTTGTATCCATATTCATATGTCTTCTCATGCGCAACCGTTAACCAAATTCAAGAAACGCAAGAGAATAATACGTGTTCTGAAGTAGGAAAACATTACACCCAAAGTAAAGAGTGTTATTTTTGTACTCTTAGGAACAAGAGATGACAGACACCTTAGAGTACCTTAACTACATATTCACAGCGATCTTCTTCCTCGAGATGCTCCTCAAGCTGGCTGGCCTTGGTGTCTATGGATACATCAAAGACGCGTTTAATCTTTTTGATGGCACGATAGTCATAATCAGGTAATGTCATCTATCTTGGGGAATCAAGGGTAGCGTAGATGTTGTTTGTCTCTCACCTCTGGGGACTCGGGTTTGATTCCTGGACTCAGCATCACACGTGAGTAGAGTTTGTTAGGTCTCTCCCTTGATTCGAGGAGTTTTCTCCGGATTCTCTGGTTTTATTCCCTCAAAGAAACCTAACAAGCTTAATTTTAATTCGATCTGTGAGCTAGCCATGCCCTGATATCGATAACATTTGAAAGTTTGGAGATTTGGAATTTTCTATGGTGTGTTACAAGAAAGCATTATATGATTATCTTATACCATATCATTAAAGCGCGGCCTAGGCTGCAATGCCTGTTGGGAATGAATAGTCAAATTCCCCTTCACAGAAACTAATATAGGAGACTGGATGCTAATTTGCCGCTAGATAGATGGAAGAGGAAGACTAGTAGACGGAAATCTGAAAAATATTACGTATAGTTAAAAAAGAAGAAGAAGAAGAAAAAAAAAAAAAAAAAAAAAAAAAAATTGCAAAAGGTCGGGCGCGCTGGACCGCAAGCGGTCCCACTTTCCACTCCAAAGAAAGTTAGAAACGCAAAAGCTTGCACATGCAGTGAACAAAGTTTTTGCGAAAATGCACAGCAAATATACATATCATTTTTAATATGGTATTTAG